TAGTAGTAATAGTACTACTAGTACTAGTAGTAGTAGTAGTAGTAGTAGTAGTAGTAGTAGTAGTAGTAGTAGTAGTAGTAGTAGTAGTAGTAGTAGTAGTAGTACTAGTAGTAGTAATAGTAGTAGTAATAGCAGCATCAGCTAGCAGGAGTAGTAGTAGTAGTAGTAGTAGTAGTAGTAATAGCAGCATCAGCTAGCAGGAGTAGTAGTAGTCGTAGTAGTAGTAGTAGTAGTAGTAGTAGCAGCAGCAGCAGCAGTAGAAGCAGCAGCAGACGTAGCAAAAGTAGCAGAAGTAGTAGGAGTAGTAGAAGTAGAGGGAATAGTAAAGCTAGAAGTAGAAGGAGAAGTATCAACCACAGACAACGATAATGATAACAATGGTAATATATGTTCAATTTTGCTGTTCATAATCATAATACACAAGAGGAATAAGAATGATGAAGTGCGGTTTGGGCCATTGCAGCAACACAAAGCTCCGGGATGCCAACATGCCTGGTCTGAGATGCGAGTTTAGGGAGTTTTAGGCGGGCTTTAGGACCTAACCCTAAATCGTCGAATTTCCTTTAACCGTACAGCCGAAATCCTAAAACCCCGAATACTGTTCACGCCGAAATTCTTTGAAAGGTATTTTCACGCTGGAGAGCCTGCGACGGCCCTCGCCAGAGTACCAGAGGAAGAGCTGCAGAAACGGGAGGCCAGGGCTCGAAGTCTTACAGGAACAGCCAGACTTGTACTCACTGCCGCCGGGGTGCTGCGTCAGCCAGCACTATTGCTCTTCCGGACATAGCTACTGCTACTGCTTCTGCTAAAACTGCTGCTTCTGCTCCTCCTCCTCCTCTTCCTCCTCCCACTTCTGCTACTGCCATAGCTGCGGCTACTGCCACTGACTGCTCCTACTCCTGCTCCTGTGCTGCTACCACCGCCCAGACCGCTCTGAGCCTGGAGAATTGCCGTGCGCTATGAAACCTAGAACGGCAGGCTCACCTTCTAGATTATACTATTAGTCGCCCAATACCCAGCCTTTAAACCTTCTTGGGTTCTTATGATTTTATATGATGACCGAATGGGCCGAATGGGCGACCGTTTCAGGGTTTGAGGTTTGGGATGTCCGTCAGGAGGCGTTCTGGGATCCTCAAGACCTCTCCAGTGGCAGCACACCGCAGAAGCAAGCGTGAGCGCACACATGCTTGCTTGGAGGTTCATGGGTAGTTATAAGTAGGGTTATAAGTCCCCTAATATGGGTTATAACTATAGTTACCCTACTTATAACCCCACTTATAACTACTCATAAACCTCCAAGTGCTGTTCACACGACGGCCCACTGACAAATTCGCAGGATACATAGTGCCGACAACGACTCCACCTTGTAAGCAGGCCACTCTAGATTTTCTCTTCGCCAGGGAGCTCTCACGTCCTGCCTAACCTGCAAAAACTGTCAATCGTAGCACTGCAACCGAAGCATTTTTTATGTAGGGGCCTAAATATTTACCAATACTATTTTGGCGGCTCCTTACTATAGTTGTAGTACGTATATTGGGCCCCAAAACACTATTCTAATTCTTAAGGCCCCTACATTATTGCAGACTTGTCAGAGTCGTGGATGCCTAAGCATCTCTTTTGAGTTCGTGCTGCAGAGCAAGACTTTAAGCTTCAGTGGTAGTTATAAAGGGGTGAATTACACTAGGGGTTTAGGGTTTAGGGTTTAGGGTTTAGGGTTTAGGGTAAGCTTTTGCTATCACTCCGAACGCCACGAGGAATGAGTATGCTGTTTCGGGTGCTGTTCTAGATAGCTTTCCTCTCCTGAGGTGTTTCTATGTCTCACCGTAGCAAGCTACCGTCAACGGAGGCAGAAACTATAGTAAACTCCCACCGGGGTAGGTTCCTTGCCCCCTAAACCCCACACCCAATGCTACTTGCAGGCTTGTGTGTAGTTTTAAATGGGGTTGCAAGTATAAGTAGGGGAACTATAATTATAAC